CAACAAAGGTCAATCTGACGCAGATGGATGAGTGGAAGGAAGAAAAAGCACCTGTTAATGACGCTTCACTTTATATCGGTAGACAAGCAGTTATAGAAGAACCTATCTTAAAAGTGACTGTAGATACGGGATGTCGCGGTTGTGAGGATAGGTGCGGCCAACACAGCGCTGACTGCAAACGTGAGAAGTACGCTGATAGACAGCATCGCGTGATAGTGCGATCATTTTTGGATGACAAGACGGGCTCAAAAGAAAGTACGGAGAGAGAAACAGAACGGACATCTACACCGACTCATCTGCGAGTACACGTGTCCAAGTCGGAATCATCGGTCAGACTCGACAAATCTCAGGACAAGGATGAGAACGCAGAAGGTAAGAATGGCGGTACCTTTTCTACGTTCCACGCACACCGGACGAAGTTTGAACAGCGGAATGCGGATAGCCAGCAACGCGACAGGTACTCGCCGATCAAAACAAAATCGCCGACCGACACTACGTTCACTGATACGCACTTTGCCAGACGTATTGTTAATGTCTCCAACCGTGATGACGAGGAGGAAGAGGATGAATACGAGTTCGGTACGAATATAACAGCGAATAACAAGAACCTGTCCTCGCCTAAGGAAGATCGTTATAATATCAGTAGCGTTAGCGTGTCAAGTGGCGAGAATAGTGAGGACAGCGGTTTGGTCCGAGAATCGATGGACTACAGCAATCCGCAGGACACGGAAAGTCGTCCATCTTTGCCTAATACGCCTGTATCGCCAAACGATGCCCAAAAGATGACCTACGTCACAGAGATCAAGGTGTCATCCAATAGGGAAGGCATTCGCGAGACTGATAACGAGAATGAGGAAATAACAACAGGAACTAACGGCGAATCGCGGAAGTCAACGCGACACGAGATCAAGGTGACGTCAAACGGCAAGCCTACGTCCGGTAAGAAACCACCGGTACCACCGAGGCGATCAGATATCACGAAGAGCCCGAAGGAGGATCGAACGGACAAGCAGATTGTCTATGTATCCGAGTACAAGTCCGCAGCGGGCAAGGGAGCCCAGATCTTGGACGCGCATCCAGGATCAGAAATCAAGCAGTCGGAGAACAAGAAGTTTGAACACTGGATCTTCAGGTCTGACAAGGAGCAGAATCGCTGGAACCCAAGTTCTGGCCAACCACAGCCCGTGACGAACATCATTCTTTCATCCAGGGATGATACCAATTAAAATGTTCGCGACTTCCTTAAGGACGCGAACAGTAATCGGTAATCGTGTATTATTCAGCTTAAGAGAGACATTTTATTTTTAAAATGTCGGAAATGAAGTTTCTTCGTGCGAAGTTTCTTTGTGAAGGCAAGTAACGATTGTAGCGATTAATAAAAAAGCGATCGTATTAAACCAGGATTGTATAAATGTTATACTAAGAACTTTAAGATAATATCCTTTCTAAGATAATGATTCGAGCAGATTTCGAATAGAAACAAGACTAAGTGTCGTAACAATAATCTTAAAATGAATATTTTTAATATAATATAATATCAATTTTTTAAATCATTTTTTCTAGCTCTTTTTTGACATTTGGCTCCTTTTTCATTTCCAGTCTTCAATTCAGTTTAACCTCAATGAATGATCCAAACAAAAAGCGAGAACATATCTATAAGTCTAAAAGGAGAAAATATGATTAACTTTATGTCACGTATGTGTTGATGCATTTCTTTAAGTGATACGTACTTCACATAACTTATAAAATACATACACTATACATCTAGAAAAATCCCTTTAATGGTTTTACTGAGAAGTTTTATCCTTAAGATGGAGAAATATCTTTGTCTGAAATGCGAATGTATATGTAAGATATTAAAACTTATAGTCACAATTTTTTTAGAAAAGGGAAACTTGATATGTTGTTTCTCTGATTCTTATCGATTTGCGTTTAATTTGTTTTCTGATTTTCTATATGTAATTTATTTAGTATTTTAGAATAAAAAAATCGATATATTTTTTATATATTATCGATATAAATGTCACTGCGCCGAAATTTAAATAACATAATAAGGTTGCTCCATATATATGTATGTCATATTTATACAGATCACTTGGAAACTCATTGCACTTTGGCGTGAATCCCGATGTTTTGAAATTAATTTTAGCAAAAATAGCAAAGGATTAATTGAAAAGACATCCAGTATGCCAATAATAAATACGAGATGTATCATCAGATAAATACGAGATGTATTATCACGAGATAATCAGTAAAGTGCTGAGAAACTACGTGCCATAAAGAGTAATTATGTAATTAGAGGAAATTACTTGAGGTAATTGAGGTAATTGAAATGTAAGATTTACAGATTTACTGTTTGTGTCCGATTTATTGTCATACGAATAAAAAATAACGATAAACGCGATAAATGTGCATACTTTTTCCCTAATAATTGTGTCGTACATAAATGTAAGGCCAATGTTTTAAATGTGACAGCTAGCAGCAAACTTAGCGCATTTTATAAAAGATCATGCATTTTTCATTAATTTTTATTCTTCCTAATCAAAATAATTTTTAATATCATTACAATTTATGCTTACAGAATATAATGAGATACATATAATGAGAAGATATGTAATTCTAATTTATTTAAAAACTGGCAATAATTTTACGTATACTTAATACTCTTCTCTTTTTTTATTTTTTAATTGTGTATACTTCGTCGCATATTAATGCTAAATGTGATTATTCCATTTTTCTGAGTTGAATATCATTTTTATATTGTGCATATATCAAGTGATTCAAAATGAGATAGTCACATTTAATGCCAAATGTAGCGAAAACGCAGTATTCTTTCAATTCTTAAAAATATTTCATGGTTATTCCAGAGAAGATTAAAATCATCAATTTTATTTTTATCTTAATGTTTGCAGTCTGAATGAATATTTTATTTTACGTAAATAAAAGTATCTTATATGTCGTCCTATATGTTTATTACGAAATACAAATAATTTCGTAGACAAGACATTTGTAATCAAATAATAGACCGTGTAATAATAGATCGCGTAGCATGTAAGCGAAATAATGTGTAAATCTGGGACTTTGTAATAACTTTGTTTATTAATGTACTAACATTTGCGTAGTTCATAATTTTATGACTAATTATTTACGCATATTATGTTAATATCGTCCTTGTGAGATACAAAGTAAATGCTAATTAATGAAATATTTCGCATAATTGTATTATTCGCTTTAAACGTTGATGTTCAAACAAATATTGTTCAAACATTTTGAAAATCTTAATTTCAATAGTTTATGTAAAAAAGTGCGTTTTTTTTTTTGTTATGTAATTAGAATATTTGTTTGATATCGCATCTTTTTTTGTTATTCAACGTTCTCCGAAAAGACAACAGAAATTCCAAAATATACTAGGTTTACTATAACGCGCAATTGACATTGATCAAGATACAAATGTTTCACTATGTACGAATCTAGTACTATCTTATTAGAAATGTTATTGTTAACTGATGCAAGTTAGTCATCGAGTCTTTCTGTGTACTTTAAATATAATTGTGTAATATAATTTATTTCAAGACTAACATGTTGGTAACATATGCTATTGTCTATAATTTGTTAGTAACAAATGTATAAAGTTTTAATGAATAAAAATGTATATTTTTAGACATACCGATATTGTAAAAATATATTTTTTTATGTGATAGATTCTTGTAAAGAGATAAAGATTATTTTTGTTCATTACGATTATATCGCGCTTTTAGAATACTTTGCACACACACACACACACACACACACACATCACGTTAAAAATATATAGACCTCATAATTTAATCAAATCTAATAAGTAGAGAAGACCAGAGCTAAGCGCGAACATCTTTTTTTTCAATTGTAATTTTCAATAACAAAAAAAAAACGATTTTAGTCAAATGATTATTACTGTTTTATAGAATGATGAATAATAGTATCCGACGAGATACTATTAAAGATACTGTCAACCCTGAGCAAATTTTCGGCGGTCTAAAAAGGGCCTGGAAGAACACTGACATCAACAATTGATCAATTTGCTATTATTAATATAAATTGGTTAATACATTATTAAATTCATGATTTTTTTATTACATAAATGCTCCATAAATAAATATGGATACTTGTAAAGCTACAATGTGCTTCATAAATAAATATGCATACTTGTAAAGCTATATATTGCCGAAAAATTACAATTTTTTTCTCTGCAGTTATCATCTCTATTGATAATCAAACTGAGGACAATACTAAAATCATAATTTTAAAGAAAAATTGAGTATTATTGATTTTTGTATATATTAGGTCATTTAAAAAACATCCGCGGTTTTTTCATTCAAAAATTGAACAAAAAACCGCGGATACTTTTTAAATGACCTAATACACTGATTAACACATCTACAAAACTAAATCATAAAATTAGTACAATAATATCAGTTTTTTATTTTTAGTCACTTCAATCTTAACAAGGATACGCAAACTCCCGTAAGGATGTCGGTTTTTAATAGTATCTCGTCAGAGATTACGAGCATACCTTATTTATTTACGTCGTGAACATAACGCGGCATCAAACTTTGTTTGATAAAAAAGACATAGTAAGATATTACCTAGAATATAAATTGGGAATTCATAAAATATATTTTTGCCACTCAAAATTCAAATGCCAGTTTAGCTGGAATTTGCTTAGCAAATCCTGGGGCCCTGTTCTGTAATTTTTACATATCGTTGCGCAGATTTTTTTAGCATATCAAATCTGTACAACACTATCGTTAAGAGTATCAGTAGACAATAGGCCGATCTCCTCAAATTTTACACTGAACAGTTCGATAGTAAAAAGAAATTGGCAGAATAGTTTTGCAGCTGCAATTATATTATCAATATCACACTTAAATATTACTTTGTTTTATATAATATATGTATTAACAATTTGTATTATGTGCGCCTGTACAGGTCTTATAAGATAAATTAAAAAACATGGTATGTATATATGTAAACATTTTATTAAATATATATGTGCATCAATTTTCTATGTGCACATTGTCCTTAATTATTTTTTTCTTTTATTTTTAGTAATTATTTATGTCATATATAAATTATCGTGTAAAAAACTAAATACATTTATATAAAGAGAATTTCCTTTGTTATTTATGGAATGTCAACACTACTCAGGGTGAACAAAAAGAAGATACAGATAAATCTGCTATAGTTTATCAAAAAATCTATCACATTATATGATATTAAATCTTAATTAACTGTACATAAATTAGACAACAAGATGCTTTATCAAGATGCTTTAGAAAATAAAGAAATCCATCTGAATAGTTTCATCTCTAGTTAAATTAGAAAAGGAATAATCGTTAAAAAATAATATAAGTAGCGAAAATAGAAATAAATTTAAAACGGAGGAGTGTGATGAAAAATGAGATGAAAAGTGTCAGATGTTGTACATAGAAAGGAACGCACAAGTGAACAGACAGAATCGTCATATCATTAACAAAGATTAAATTTTTGGATAATGTAAGAGCGAAGGATACTATTGTACAATTTGCAACAGTGTGAATACTGCAACATATAAGAATTCAGAAAATATGTAATTTTAATATGGATAATAGATATGTGAATATAAATTTAAATATTAAACTTTACATTGAAATTAATTATTAAATATAAAAACAATTATTATGTAGCAGACTGCTTATAATTCTTTGTACTCATGAGTTTTTTACCACACATAGAGCATATAGCTTTTTTATATGCACAGGACTGACAATAATGGGATCCCACCTGATGAACTTTCTGCCTACATATTCTACAGATCTCAAATTTTGTGGTGTATGGATTGAATCGTGCCTTTCCTGCAGAAAGAGCTTTGTTCTCTCCAACTTTACGTCCTCCACTCTCCGTTGTGTTCCTTGCACCTGTTTTCCAGGGATCCGGAGTAATAACTTTGCCCAATTTCTTTTCACATTTCTCGCAAACCATGTTGAGATTCCTTATTTGGAATAAAATTACACAAATACCTGAAAATAATTGTGTATTGTATCATGATTATATAAAGATAAATTATTTTTACATCAAAGACAAAGTTATATTATATACCTTAAGCTTGAGTCGTAATTCTTTCTCAAAAGAATTCCTACTTGTTTAGCACTCCTTCGTGCAATATCGTAAATCTTTTCATCAAAGTAAAAAAAACATTGATCTAAAAATAATTACATATTGAATAATGAGTATATAAAGATGAATTTTATTTTTACATAATATCAAAAAGAATTTATATAAATTGTCAGCCTTTTTTAAATTGATTTTTACTTGCTCAGTTTTCCTACATATCATGTATCTTTTCATTAAAATCAAATAACGAAAACTCTATCTATTTGAAAATAATTGAATAAATGAAACATCAAATGGATATATAAAAATAAATAATTTTTAATCAAAAGTATAATTATGTTATATTATTATATTCTTATATTATATACGTACGTTGAATTTTTAGGTTATAATCTCTTCACAAGTTAATATTTACGTCTTCAACACTCGCATGTACAATATCATAAATTTTTTTATCGCAATATCAATTTCTTCAGTATTAAAGCTTCCTAAATTGCGTTATTGAAAAAATTCTTAAAGAAATTCGACTGCGTAACAATGGATAATGAAAAACGATGAAAACAATCATCATTCCGAGCGTTTCCGACAATATCCGAACAATCCGCGAACATTTCCGAGCACTCTTCTTCCTTGGGAAGAATATGAAATATGAGACGTATCGAATATTCAATATTATTTGGTACTTTTTATTATCCGATCGGATAATCGGATATCATTAGTATTCAATAATATATCCGGCTGAAATTTTATGTTGCCGGATATATTATTGCCGGACAGCTACAAGTTTATATATATTTTATATTTTTTATAAGCTTTACGACACACGTATGAATATATATGTTCTCAACTTTACATATATTCATAGATAACGTAAATGTCCCAAACAACATGAAGTCGACAAGGCTGCATTTCATTGCACGCATAATGCGCATGAGTGTTAAACAAGGATAACATGATACATCACCCAGTAAACGAGAATGGATTAAAATGGATTGAAATTTTTTCTATCCAAATGCATATTTTAAATAGCGAATAAAATACATCTATTGTTATTAGAATTATACAATTTATACATTTGTAAAAATGGAGTAAAAATTAAATGCTCGTATATTTTCTTAAAAAATTAACACAATGTCATGGCTTATTTCGAGCTATAATTAAATTAACTTTAAATTAATATAATTAACACATTGTTAATTATATTAATTTAAAGTTAATTAAGATTAATTACATTTGTATTAAATATTTTTGAATCTAAAAGATTTATAATAAATCAATTTAAAAAATTATAAAATAATTATTCTAAACGTAATGATATCAACATCAAATTGTTTTATTTTTTTTTTAGAAAAGCACATCATCTGCAATCAAATTAAATGAGGAATTTGCGAAAATGCAAATACATGAGAACGAGAATATTGCCAGCAAAAGCTCAGTCAGTTTGAAAAAACCATGCGACAGTGATAAAAATTATTATTCAAAATTTGCTATATATGATGAAAACCTACAAATATATAGCATTTTTGCCATGCGGACATGTAATAGCATTTGAAAAATGTACGAAAAATATAATACAATATAGCGTACCTGTTAACAATCTAGGTTTCTATAATCAAAGCTTATACTTTAACTACATATTTAACTACATATTTATTCATATGTTATGTACAATATATATGTCATACTAATTATAAAGGAAGCTTTAAATATAAGACTATGAATACGGGCATAAAAATATTATTTAAAAATATTATTTTATTTTCAAGAAAACATATTCAAACATCATTTCGTGCGCATTTCGATCATGACAACGCATGCGCATGTTGTCATAGAGCATGCTCGAGCTCGTGACACTTTTGTCGCTGTTTTTGTCGATATGATAGGTTTACTAACCTGTAATCGTCAACTTTAACGATTAATATCTCAGTTCGCGAGCCAGAGAAAGTTTTTTCTACCAGATTCAGTCATTTCATACAAAAATATGTCGAATGACTAATTTTATCAGTACCGGACATAAGGTAGCTCAACTCGATTATTACCTAGGCTGTGATTCAATTCATGTTGACAATGCTGATCGGCTCATGAGTATCGTTTGTCTTCGTTTAACATTTTTTTAATAAACAACAAGGATGAAATGATTTTTAAGCGTGTGAACGTGAATCGGACCTAGATGCCTCATCTAACCCGCAGCCGTTTTTTTTTGTATGTCAAAAAATTTATGTATGTATTTTTACGCACAATCTTCTTGAGCCATGTCAGACGCTTTTGAAGAAATACAAGCGATTAAGATAAAGAGAAACAGTTATCGTGAGAAACTACAGAAGAGGAAACGTGAGAGACATGAATTGTATACCCTCACTTCTACGCCGGCTTCATCCACCCTGACAGCAGAGTCGGCGTGTCCTGGTAATAAGTATATAATTTTACGATTATATTACTGTTAACATTTGTTATGTGTGATGAGAAAGAATTTGTTCAACTTTAATGTAACTGGTATGTCCCTGTTACAGATTCTAATGCATCTTCACGTTCGGATCACAGTGAATATGAAAGAGACGTACTTTGTATCTTACACGAGTCCTTACCTAATCTACCGATAACATCCGCAGACTTGATAGACCAGCTACGTAAAAATCTTAATGCCGATGTATCTTCTTCAGATATCCACAAGATTCTGGAGAAGCTGGCTGCACAAGATATAGTTAAGTTAGTATAATGAAACTTGCATAATATCCTGTAATACCATTTTATTAGTACAAGATACATTTAATATAAAAAATATTTATGCATGTCTTTAGGATCAAAGAAGTTACAGAGAATGGAGTATTTGGATATACAGTGTTGTCGGTAACAGAATCCCAATCGTCATGTCAATCTCAGTCTGATGACACAGAGAATGCCGAAAGCATAGAAATGTCTATGTCTGAATTAAATGACCATGTGCCTCCAGAGAAACAAGCGAAAGTTGACAAGAAAAATACCGAGGATATCATGTCTCTAATTTCGATGCCGACGATTAGAGAAAAGGAGAGCAAGAAGGTCGGTGAACAGATCCTGGATCTACTGTCAAAGCAGACTTCCAAAGAGAAATCGCTGGCAGAACGATTTCGCTCTCAGGGAGGAGCTCAAGTTATGGAATTCTGTCCACATGGTACAAAAGTAGACTGTATGAAATTGAATGGTGGTCCGGGATTCGCGGAAAAATGTAAAAAGCTGCATTTTAAAAAGATCATACAGAGTCATACAGATGAATCTTTGGGAGATTGTAGTTTTCTCAATACCTGCTTCCACATGGACACATGCAAGTAAGGGCGTGAAAAATACTGCCTTTATTAATAACTTTATCAATATATAGTTAAATTCGTTTCTTGATATAGTTAATTGTAACTCGAATTTAACTAAGTTAATCCATAAAAAATATTTTAGATAAATCATACATATTCAGCTTTGACTTTCTCTACTTTTAAAGGTGCAGTTTTATGCAGCGAAATTGTACCTTAAGCAAAAAAAGATTTAGAGTTAAAGATGAAATTTTTTTTATTTTGTACAGATATGTTCATTATGAGGTAGATGGTCCTACGGCACAACTAAAAGAAATCAATGACTCCGATAGTTCGAGCAATACCACATCTAACAAGACGTTGAATCTAGATAGCAAAAATGGTAGCAGTAGCAGTAGCAACGTAGGTAGTGAGTTAACTCTGTATCCACCACAGTGGATTCAGTGTGATTTGCGTTACCTCGATATGACTGTTCTTGGCAAGTTTGCTGTGATCATGGCCGATCCACCATGGGACATTCATATGGAGTTACCTTATGGCACTATGTCAGACGATGAGATGAGACAATTGGGAATCCCAGCACTTCAAGATGAAGGACTCTTGTTTCTTTGGGTGACTGGCAGAGCTATGGAGCTGGGAAGAGAGTGTCTGCAGCTATGGGGTTATGAGAGGGTTGACGAAATCATCTGGGTGAAGACTAATCAATTGCAAAGGATAATACGGACTGGTAGGACAGGTCATTGGCTAAATCATGGCAAGGAACATTGTCTGGTCGGCATGAAGGGTAATCCTCGTATTAATCGAGGATTGGACAGTGATGTGATTGTCGCTGAGGTTCGTGCTACTAGTCACAAACCCGACGAGATCTACGGCATCATCGAGCGAATGAGTCCCGGTACCAGAAAAATTGAATTATTTGGTCGGCCGCATAATGTACAACCCAACTGGATTACGTTAGGCAACCAGGTGGATGGTGTTCATCTAATTGATCCGCAACTTATTAAGGCCTTTAAAAAACGTTATCCCGACGGAAACTCGATGAAGCCTACCAAGCCATAAAATTTCCTTGTTCAATAAAAGATTAAACGGAGATTAATGATGTAATTAAATTTCCAAAGAATTTAAAATGTTAAATATCAATTTTAAGAAAATTTAGATCAAGTTTTTTAAAAAGATGGTTTATATTTCTTCGCCTCTATGAAGTACAATATTTGAATTTGCTAAGTATCCATCGCGTTTTTGACATTTTTTTAAGAGCTCGATAAATCGATTAAAATTTTTATAAATAGACATCTATCAATATAAATTAAAGCCACTTCACGTTTTGTTAATTTATTGCAAAAAATGTATATATATCCCATCTACCATTTAAATATATGCTAATACAAAATGAACGCATATAACTATAAATATAAAAGATTGATTTCACGTGAATATTTTGATAGATGATAACATTTGTACACATATATTACATTATTTTTAAACCATGCTTTATTTAGCATGGTATGTATACACACACGTGTAAGTTCTTCCTTAATAAAATTATCGGTATTAATGCGGATTAAATCCTGAAGCTAAAATCAACTTCTATGACGTATAAGTTAATTCTAATGTTAGCGTAAGATTGCAAATTGTAAATGTAATTACTGCTTCCTGTTATTTATGTATAAATACGAGTATATTCAATCTTTCTAAATTTATATCGCTGCTATGTTGAAATGTGTAATATATTATTTAAAAAATTTTTAGTTATTGACAATTTTTAAGTATAAAATAAATCACTTGAAAGATTGCAACGTAGATAAAAATATGTAATTATCGCATATATTAATTTATCATTTTTGTACTAATTGATCGGAATCATTTTATCATTTTTGTATAATACATCAATTCTTATTGAAAAGATAAAAGCTACCAAATGTGAGTTTTCACTATATATAACCAATACTGTTGCGTTTTTGCTTGAGTAGACTCTTCCTTATGGAAAAAGAAAATAGATTGTCATTTATACTGCTTGTGGAAGTTCTTCTGGATATCGACGTTCTCGCGACACAATTATTTGACTTTGTCGTTAACTCTGTGTTGTCCAACAAGTTTTCCTTGTCGTTAGTATTGAATACTTTATCTGGAATGCATATTCTAGAGTGTATCTTGTTAAATGAATCAACCCAGTGTCTTTTTTTGTGCCCGTCTTCCATTATGAAAGAAAATTCTCCGATCTTGAAGCAAATTTCTGCGATATTTTTATTTTCCACTTGCACACACATCTGTTCCTTGGGTATGATAGGAAATGATGCGTTGTACTTTTTGTTAACGCGCCGCGTAGGGCGAGTTATCACAAAACAAGTGTCGAAAAGAAAGCAATGATATTTCTGCAAACAGATGATAATTTGTGTCAAAAAACCTACTGAAATAAAATTTATATATGCGTTATCTCTTGTATTGAAATTAAAATTAAACTTACTATTCCACGTGTATCCTTAAGCTGACCCTCTGTAATCAACTCTGTGGCGTTGGCGATGCATTTTTCAGGATCATGTTCGATCTTCGCGTTTATTTTTGATTGAGCAAGCTTGCATTCGGCATTGCCCATGATAAAATCGATATTCTTTAGCAAGTCGGAGAATATGTTACTCGCCTCTTTCAATGGCAAATGATCTGCATCAGCAGCAGGCGTATATTTTAAGATCTCCTTTATTAACAGTGGATACTTCACGATCCTTGAACGTGGCACATCCAAATAGGTCCACAAGTCGACGGAATGTGGTGATTCTAGACGCTTTTTTAAAAACGACTGGAACCTCTTATTGGTAAATCTCTTCTCTTCTAATAAATGCCTCGCCCAAACTAATGTTCTGCATCTTTCCAAATATGGTTTCTTTAATGTTGACAGCTGTGAACAGAATGAAATTAATGTCATACATGATGCACAGTGAGATATCATATGTCTCTGTGTGAGAACGATGGACTTGTAATTTTGATGATTCTCGAGTGTTCGATCTCTCATTCCGTAATCCATGTAAATTAAGGATAGAAAAAGAGACCCTGGTAGAAATCTCATAAGCCTTTTTAATTAGCAATTATGCAAATGGCTAACCACATCAAAAAACTTATGCCCATTTCTCTTAATATTAAGTTTAATTTTAATCTTTCCAAAAATTATAAAAAATGAAGAATAAGTTAATTAAATTTAGTCTACATTGGAAACAGCCATTATTGTTATAAATGTTCAAGAAGATCGAATGTTTATAATAAACTAAGATCTACCTCTAATATTATAGAGCCAGTGTTGATTAATTGATTGATGACGCATAGTGAAATGTATATAAAAGAAAATTAACTAACCCAATTTAATAGCGTCGGTCCCACGGTCTTTGTGAATCCGTATCTATCCCGTAATTTGAACAATTCATCTCTCAAGTTACTGTGTATTTCAATGAGATTTATGAGATCGCCAAAAAGCGTAGATAACTCTTCGGATGTAAAGATTTCAGTGGTTGACATCGGTTCATAGTAATAGTTTCTTAGCATATAGAGTTCATTTAATAACACATTTTCACCACAATATAATTCATAAATAGCCTCTTGCCGTCTGATCTCACTTCGACTTAATATGCTGTTCAATCGCTCGTCGCCGCGTGGCTGTGCAATGTCTGACATCCAACTCCTGATTGTCAAACTGTTGCAACTCTCAGTAGCACTATTCAATCTGAAATTAGGACATGGTTTATTTTAAGAGAATTTTTCTTATAAGTAAAACATTTAATAGTGAATTCGATCAAATGCACTACATTAGATTAGTGCATACTTAAAGCTACTATGAAATAATATTAAATGTAAAAGCATATAGATATTTTGAACGATTAAATTCTCAATAAAGATATCATGTTATTTAACAGATTATATTGGATCAGAATAAAAGTTCATAGCGCTACTTTATTACGTACACGTGTTTTTTTTTAAATTTGATAATATATTATATCATTTAATATAGAGCAAAATTTCTACTTTAAAAATCTATTTTTTTTTAATGTTATGTGGAGTTATGGACAAAGTCAAAATACTCCTTTTATTTAATCCGCGATAACTCAATAACAAAAAATCCTAAGAATATTTCAAAAAAATGATTTTGTTAGGGACTTTAAGCTTCATGTTGGAAAATCAAAAATTTTTACAAATTTTTTAAAGCACGTAATAAGTCCACAAAGTGAAAAAAATTTTCCATTTTGTTAACTTATAGTTTTCTATATGTAAAAATTATCATATTTACAGAAATTCAAAAAACATAATAACCTTTTGAAAGTAGAAATTTAAAGATAAAAATCTTTTTTAAATTTAAATTTCATTTTAACCAAGTTATTTAAATTCATGAAAGCTACCAACATTGGTTTCAATTCAATAAATATATTACTTTATTATCTTATGTACGTAAAGTTGTTGATTATGTTATGCCACTGCATTCAGATACTTTAGGTAAAGAAGCCTTTATATATAAAGTAACTAACAGTATCCAGTGTAGAGCAACTGAATTCATCATAAGTTTCATTCTTAAGTAATTACTTTTTACGTAACGTTCTCGTGTCTGCTTCATCTTCGATGATAGACAGGTCCGAGGAGTTTGGCTGGATCGTGAAGGATCTATGTAAAGTGTTTCCTGATTTATTCGATGTGGAGGAGGAAAATATACTGCTAGCAACCTCCGTGATTCTACGACGTTTCTTCTTCTTGCCTATGTCAGAATCCATGGATATGTCCATCGAGCTGACACTTATCGCATCACTCTTCAGCCGTTTTCTCGGTCTCTGTAGCAGAATATTTTAGCGTTTAGACATCAAGTGTAATATCAATGATAGCAACAATCTCATTATCGTCTGACAATTCAAGTAAAACTATAATAAACACCTATAATACATCTGTACCGCAACGTGTATGTACATGACAACGATGTCATGCTAATCGTGACGATTGAAAAATTGAAGAAGAAAACATGCTGTCCCGCTGACATTAATGACATTGTATTCGAATGTCGGTTACACACACAGCCAGTTGCGAGAGGCGTCATTTCGCGGTATACCGAGGAACAAATCGATGTACTCACCAGCCAAAACCTTTTTCGTGGTTCCTGGAACGTATCCTTGATCGTCGTGTTGCACTCATCGTCCATGATGTCAATTGTCTAGAAAAAAGAGGAAAAACTCGAAATTTCACAGTATAACTCCTCGGAATTGCACACACTAAGTATTCGATTTCATGAATTGGCTAGGCGGTTGTAGCGGTAGCAGCTTCATTTACACTCCACGCTTCTACACCTACACTTTTTATTATTATTGTCATTTGTAAAAATAAATATTTTAGAAAATTAATTTAATATTATCATAGTGACAAAATCAATATTGATTTTTATTATATTATAATACAATTTTTTTCATATTAGATACAGAAAATATTTTAGGTCTGTTTTCTGTGACTGAACTGTCTATACATTTTAATTTTCTTCTCTCTCTCTCTCTCTCTCTCTCTCTCTCTCTCTCTCTTTCTAATGTCTAGTTGCATATTCTATCTCGTTGTAGGTGCAGAAAGTGTAATACAGATAGAAAGAATAGATTACTTGCAAATTTCAAAATATTCTTTTTACTTGTGTTTTTTATAATTTCCCCGTTTAAGCCTTTCTTCCTTTTTTTCTCCAAGAACTGTGAATATTAAATTTCACTTTAAATACAAAAACATTTAAGCGTATTTATTATATATATAAATATATAAATAGTAAAGAACATTTTGTAATTGTGTAAAATCCAATCCGTTCAAATTCTCTTATTGTATGTGTTGAATTTTTAACATATTTGAATGTTGATATAACATCATGTGATTATATGTTATTTTAATATTTTGTATTAAATTAATATTCAATATTTGTATGGTATGTCAAAATAATGCAATTTATATATAAGTGTAAATATATAAATATAATATAAAAAAGCATTTTAAAACTTATAAATTCTAAGATAAAATATAAATATATTAATTTGGTATCAATGTTAATTTTATTTTTTAAAAAATGTGCTCCCAGTTTGCTTACAAATTGTGTATTTCATATTTATTGTTATATTAATTTTTTTACATATTTGTGTTACTTTCTAACTTATATATTTATGTTTAATTATCACAACAATTTAAATAGACCATTTAATTAAAATATGTAAATTGTGTTAAATTTAATATAAATTGTTAAAAATGTCAATTCTTTTTTTAAAATCATTCTAAGATGCTATAATACGGCTTTGCGATTGGCTGTGACATTTTG